GGACACCTTTGTTGTTGTTGTTAAGTGCCGTTGAGTCGGTTCCGACCCATAGCGACCCTGTACAGGGTTTCCGAGGGACACCTTAGACCTCTATTAATCCCACCCCCCCCCGCCTCGTATCTGATATCTGATATTGAAACTTTCTGTGCACTTCTTCCCTACATTCTCTCGTCTTCAAAGTTACCATGAGGGGGTTCGAGTCCCCTGGGATGGTATATTGGAAGACCTGATTCCTATGCAAGGGGACCAAGTCCCCCACAATGAGGAACAGGCATGGGACTGATCACCCTAAGCAGTCCTGTGGATGGGGACTGGCCTCAGTGAGGGGTTTGAGTCCCTAAGAGCTACAGGTAAACTCCATGGTGAGGTTATCAAGTCTCTAAGACTCACTGGAAATCTTCTCTTTTGTCTTTCTTATCTCTCCTAGTTTCTGACTCAGAACTCTGCAGTCTGCTTTCTTTCACAGCTATCATCCTTTGACTGCCCTGTAGCCAGCCTTGGTTTCGGGAAGCTATCCAGGCAAACTGTGATCTCTTTCTGTTTGTTAAGGGGTCCCAGGATAAGCACTCGAATATAAGGTCATATTGAACTACAAGGTCAGTGGTTCAGACTCCTCAGAAACCCTATACAGGGATGCTATGGGTCAGAACCAACTTGACAGAACTTTACAACAACAACAGACCCTGTTCTGATCATCACATCATCCTCAGAATCTTCATTTGTTCTCTCTGAGCATTATATCCTACACATTTGGTTCACTGAGGTCCTTGGTACCAGTTCCAGTATGAACATTGTCTTTACTGGTTTTTAAGAGCTTTTCTCTTCCACATTATTAGTGTGAGAAGGGTGAACATTACTCTGAACCCTAGTAATTCTTTCTTCCTTGTATTAAACAGGCAGACTTCAAAGACTTATTGTTTTCTCTTGTGTGAAGATCTTGGGCCTGTTGTGAGATGCTATTTACCTCTTGGACTACCATCTTGTCCTCTGTATTAGGTGGGCACTATGGATTGGGCCCTCTCTTGCCTTTGGGCCCCTTCCCCCTACACACTGTTGTGTTGCTGTGAAGTGCAGTCGAGTCAATTCCGACCCATAGTGTAGCTCAAAAGGAAGCACTCCCCCTACTGGTGCCTGGAAGTACTTGTTTTCCATGCTCACAAATGTCAGGATAGTGAGGACTGTCGTGACCCATTTGCGATCCACCTCTGGGCTAGATTGTTGTTGTTGTTGTTGTTATGTGCCATCGAGTCGGTTCCGACCCATAGCGACCCTGTACAGGGTTTCCGAGGGTGTAAATCCTTACGGGAGTAGAAAGCCTCATCTTTCTCCCGCGGAGCAGCTGGTAGTTTCAAACCGCTGACCTTAAGGTTCGCAGCCCGATTCGTAACCACTACGCTACCAGAGCTCCCCTTTGCTAAAGGGAGGTGCAATGACGGCTTGGACCGCAAGGTTGGTGGTTCAAGCTCATGCAGCTGCTTCCTGGAAACCTTATACAGGGTCACTATGGGTCAGAACTAGCTCAACGACATTTAGCAGCAATAACAAAAGAGAGGTGAGGCTACCTATTTTCTCCCCTGGGCCTCCTAAACCAAAGTGTTTTGAAAGATGTCTAACATCTTTTTAAACTAGCACTTCTGGGACTTAGGTGGGTGGAGGGATTTATTCTTGGGAGCCCACAATGCTTACATCCATCCTTCAGTGGTCCTCTAATTGTTGGGTATTGCTCTAGGAAGGGCCAGCCCACTGTGGGCCAAACCTCAAGCATAACAAAAGACTCCCCCTCCCTGGCTGCATTCTAACTCACTGGGAAGACTTTCCAACAGAGTAAATTAAGCAAAAGAAATGAATCTTCTTTTGTAGTAACTGCCTAGCCCAGTACACCCTCAGGCACTAAGAACAATGGCCAATAATGGATCCCTTTCCTTTACACCATTTTAGGTTAGATTTGTTTTGCACCACAGGGCCTACTTTCATACTGCTACCACGAAACAAACTTCTCCTTAAAAATTACACTTTCCTCCAGAAACCTGCCCTACAGAACAGGGTTCTTCGCAATTTGAAAAACAATAAGAATTGGTAGCCAGCTAATTTTTCCAACTGTATCACTCTAAAGTTGTGGACGAAAACTAATACTATTTTTGTCCTACAAGGCATAATTTTTCTATGTGCCTACCCTAATAGTACTTGCAATGGTTCAGTCTAGGCAAATGCCACAGGCTTTGTAGTCTCTCACTCTCATCATATATATGGTCAGTGCACTCTAGGATTCCTTCATAATGATATCCTCCCCTCATCTTGTGCTTGATGCCAGCACAGTCTCCTAGACAGTATTTTAAATTGGAACAGGAAATTTCTTGTGTTGGTAGCCCATTGGGCAGGGTATATTGAGTATGAATTTATCATCTCCAACCTCACTGCAGAACTTGAACTTCTCAGTAACGAGATAGGAGGAACCTTAACCGTAAGACTTCCAGAGGTCCTTAGCTAATGTAGTCTTAGATAACCCCATAAGTACTTAACTATCTGCTCATCACTCAGGGTGGCATCTGTGCCATCATAAATCACCTGTTGCACATACATCAATAATTCTTTAAAAGTCGAGCCTGGAGCTAATGAAATCTTTAACCTTAAGACTACTGCCAGGCCTTACTGATTCTATGGGAAGCCAGTCCTAGAGTTCCCAGCCTTGGTCTCTACTTTCTCCTCTTCTCTCCATTCTTTTGATCTTCATATACATGCAACTATTCAGTCCCTGTCTCCTTAACCTACAAATGCAGATCTTAGAAGATGACCACCCTTCTACCATGCTTCCTCTTGGGCCCTTAACACTGGCGGAGAGAGAGAGCTCTACCATGTTAGGCAGTCTTATGACCTAGTGCCAGACAGAAGTAGTTCCAAGAAAATGAAACCTCCATCCCCTATCCTTCAAGACTTTTGATTACAAGTGTCTCTGGGGGGTGGGGTGGGGGAATGTTTGTGCAAGGAACAGAAGGAAAATTACTGAGGAAAAAGATCAGTAGTGGAGGCAGTAGGAAAAGATCAATAGAATCATTAAAAAACCCTCCAAATACAAAGAACAGAGGGGCAGGATGTGGATAAGAGATTAAATAATCTATGTCCTTGTCAGGTAGGCAAGATATAAATGAGATAACAAAAGCAACAACAAAAAAACCCACTGTCTCCTTGTGCATCCAGAACCCAGCATGGTTTATAAGCCCTGTTTTGCTATTCAACTGTCCAGTGGGGGTTGTTAATCAGTTTTATGGTGTTAACCAGTTTTATGGTGTCACCAGGGCAGACCTGTTCTTAAACCACATGTGTAGACAGTTAAGTCAGTTACCCCGGACATCTCTGCAACAGACTCCATCATGGATGCCAGATGCATGCGCAGCAAGGGAAAAGAGAAAAGAAGAAAGAACATACAAAAGTGGGATGAGGCAAACAGGAAAGCCTGCCTCTTTTTAGACTTACAGCTTAACCTCTCACTATAAATACACCTTACACTGTGAGCATGGGAGAGGTGCTGCTGGCTATGGCACGCCTTCTCTGAAGGTATTTTTCCATACTCTAATAAACCTCTTTAAGGAGCTCTGGTAGAGTAGTGGTTATGAATCGGGCTGCCAACCTCAAGGTCAGCAGTTTGAAACTACCTGCAGTTCCACGGGAGAAAGATGAGGCATTCTGCTCCTGTAAAAATTTACAGCTTAGAAAACTCTGTGCAGGGTCACTATGAGTTGGAACTGACTCCAGTACTTAACAACAATAAACCTCTTTAAGGAGCTCTGATAGCATAGTGGATGAGTCGGGATACTAACCTCAAGGTCAGCAGTTTGAAACTATCAGCTGTTTCACGGGAGAAATATGAGGTTTTCTGCTCCCGTAAAGACTTAGAGCCTTGGAAACCCTATACAGGGTTGCTATGAGTTGGAACCGACTCCACAAACGTAACTACTACCACCACCAATAAATAAACCTCATGGGAGTCCTGATATGGCGCTGCAGGATAAGCACTGGACCTCAGGTCAGTTTGAACTGCAAGGTGGTGATTTAAATCCACCAGGTGCTACTTGGAAACCCTACTCAGGGTTATGATGAGTTGCAATTGATTTGATGGCACTTAACAACAACAATAAAACTTTAATATTTCACATCTTTCTAATCTTCAGTAGCTCAACCCAATATCAACCTCACCTCTGTGAACCAGTGTTGTGTACTTTGCAATTTTCTAATGTCACTTATGAAAGCATGACTTTCTTTACCTTTTTTTTTTTTTTAAATATCTTATTGTGAATTATGTGATAGTTTACATGGGATAACAGTAGTTTTACATTCATCCTATTGTATATCGTTTCATTGCCATGGTTACAATCCCCTCCATGCATCATCAACCAACCAAAGGGTACACCCTGCAAGCCTGCCCCCTAGTCATCAGCACACAGCCCCTCTCCCTCTCTGGGTCTAGAGTTCCCAGTTGCTCCATCACTCCACGTCATCGTCTCTGCCTCCACCTCTGGCATCACTGCTTCTCTGGGTAAGGTCCCGCTCTCCGCTCTCCTCCCTTGACGGTCCCAGGGACCTCTGCTCCTAGACTCCAAAGTCAATCATTCCCTTCCTTGCTACAAAATGTCTACCTTTACATTTCCAACCCTCACAATCAGTCCTGATAACAATTATTCACTATTTTTTTTTAACTGTTATTGTGAAATAAGTGAAGGTTTACACAAGGAAGGAATGCTTCATAAATGTACATATCATCCTTGTTCTTTTTTAGTATATGTGTTGCCAAAGCAAACACTGAATTTTATTTTTATAATTTAAAAAAATTGCCTTTGTTTCCTTTTTAAAGCAGAACTCTTTAGGTCTTAGTTGTTACCCACAAAATCTAGCACAAAATCTCTATGCAAATTGTTTAGTGCTTTAGGCTATGAACCTATTTCTCTAGTAATATTTTCATAGTTCATTTTCATTAATGTTATCCTTTAGATATAATTATTACTCACCACATTCTCCTGGATTTGACAATTAGATACAGAGATACTGGTAGACAGATCTTCTGTAAAATACAATAATAATATATGAGAAAAAAAACTGTTAATACTAAACTTAATAAAATTAATATTTACTGACATGAAAGGGTTTGTGGTAAAAAAATAAAAAAAACCAAACAACAAAACAATTTAACACAAAGTTAATACAATGACTTACATTTAAAAAACTTTATGCACACAATAATAAAGTATCAGTAGGAAAGTGGTTAAATAATTAAATACAAAGGAATACATCTGTTTTTAAAAATGATGTAGAGTTGTAAGTGCTCAGTCAGAAAGCTATTCATGTCTTGTTGTTGTTGTTTTTAAAGTGACATAGAGTTGGTTCCGATCCATAGCGACCCTGTGTAGGGTTTCTAAGAAGCAGGTGGTGAGCTTGAACTGCCAGCCCTGCAGTTCAAACAGCTTTGCAATCTGGCGCATTAACCCACAGCGCCACACCTTACTGTTACATTAAAAAAGCAAGTTTCAGGTTGTTGTTGTTGTTAAGGGCCGCTGAGTCGGTTCCAACCCATAGCGACCCTGTATAGGGTTTCTGAGGAGCAGCTGGTGAGCTTGAACCGCCGACCTTGTGGTTCAAACTGACTTGGCAGTCCAGCACATTAACCCACAATGCTATGGAGAATGAGAGAGGTGGGGCTGGAGACTGAGGGTTTCAATTTTTACTTTATGCACTTACATACTGCTTGCCTGGTGTGGTGCTGTAGGATCAGTACTGGATTGAGAAATACAAGGTGTGGGCAGTTCAAACTTACCAGGTGCTTCTCGGAAATGCTGGACAAGGTCACTATGAGTTGGAAACAACTTAGTGGCATTTAACAACAACAACAACAATGATAAATACTGCTTGCCTAGACCTTAGGCAAATGTGCTGCAAATGACCTCTTTAAAGTATTAAGAGCAAAGATATCATTTTGAGGCTTTAGGTGTGTCTGTCCCAAGCCATGGCATTTTCAATTGCCTCTTACGAATATAAACATTACATAGTTCTATAAAGGTCAAGTATTTCTATAACTTTGGCAAGAATAGAAAGTAATTATAAGACTCTAAAGATAGAGAACACTCTACAGAATACTGACTTCAACCCTGATATAAACTGGACAAGAAATACAAAATAGTTTTCATTCTCCAGAATCCTTACTCTTAATTCTGTCTTTTCACAATTTTGTCCTTATACCACTACCATTTTGAGTTCTGGTGTCGTGCTCTAGGATAAGTAATCCCCTGACCGCAAAGTTGGTTTGAATCACGAGGTTGGTGGTTCAAATTCACCAGCAGCTCCCACACAGGGTCACTATGAGTCAGAACCAACTTGATGGCACATAACAACAGCCACTATCATTTAACTCCATTTAATTCTACGGGGGCCCTGGTGATCCTGTAAGATAAGCACTGTACAGCTAACAAGGCTTGGCAGTTCAAGTGTACAGGGTTGCTATGAATTGGAATTGACTTAATGATTGTGCTTTCTTTTAAAAATCCACATTCTAAAGAGCTCTGGGTTGCTAACCTCAAACTCAGCTACTCCACCAGAGAAAGATGAAGCTGTCTGCTCCCATAAGATTGTTCAGTCTTAGAAATCCTCCATTTGTTTGCTATGAGTTGGAAACAAATCAATGGCAGTTGGGTTTTTAGGTATCCACATTCTAGGAGCACTGGTGCATATGTGGCTATTGAAAATACCATGGCTTGGGTCAGGTGCACCTTAGTCCTCAAACTGACATTTTTGCTCATCAATACTTTAAAAAGGTCTTTTGCAGGAGATTTTGCATAATGCAATATGTTATTTGATTTCTTGACTGCTGCTTCCATGAGTGTTGACGGTTGATTCAAGCAAAATGAAATCGTTGAGAACTTCAATCTTTTCTCCATTTATATGAGTGTTGTTTATTTGTACAGTGGTGAGGATTTTTGTTTTATTTACATTGAGATGAAACCCATACAGAAGGCTGTGGTCTTTGATCTTCATTAGTAAGTATTTTAAGTCTTCTTCACTCTCAGCAAGCAAGGTTGTATCATGTACATATTATAGGTTAATAAGTCTTCTTCCAATCCTGATGCCATGTTTTTCTTCATATAATCCAGCTTCTTGGATTATCTGTTCTGCATACAGATGAGTAAGTATGGTGAAAGAATACAAGCCTGGTGCACACCTTTTCTAATTTTAAGCATTCTGGTGTTCCCTTGTTCTATTTGGACAGTTGCCTCTTGGTCTCTGTACAGGTTCCTCATGAAAACAATTAAGTGTTCCGGAATACTCATTATTCTCAATGTTGTCCATAGCTTGTCATGATCCACACAATTGAAAGCTTTTGCATAATCAATAAAGCACAAGCAAACATCTTTCTGGTATTCTCTGCTTTCAGCCAGGATCCATCTAATATCAGCAGTAATATACTTCATTTCACTTCCTCTTCTGAATCCAGCTTGAATCTCTGGAAGTTCTCTGTGAACGTATAGTTACAGCCATTTCTTTATTACCTTTAGTAAAACTTTACTTGCATGGAATATCAATGATGATATTGTTCGATGATCTCCTCATCTGTTGGGTCACCTCTCTTTGGAATGGACACAAATACAGATCTTTTCCAGCCAGTTGGCCAGGTAGTTGTTTCCAAATTTAATGGCATAGATGAGTGCCTTTAGTGCCACATCAGTTTGGTAAAAGATTTCAATTTGTATTATATCTATCCCCAGTGCCTTGTTCTTTGCTAATGACTTCAATGCACCTACCTTGGACTTCTTCTTTCAGCACCATTGGCTCTTGATCATATGCTACCTCTTTAAATGGTTGAATATCGACCATTTCTTTTTGGTACAGTGACTCTGTATTTCTTCCATGTTCTGTTGATTTTTTTTTCTGCATCATTCAATATTTTGCCCATAGAATCTTTCAATACTGCAAGTAGAGACTTGAATTTTTCCTTCAGTTCCCTCAGCTTGAGAAATGATAAGTGTGTTCTTCTGTTTTGGTTTTGTAACTCTAGGTTTTTGAACATTTTGTTATAACATTTGGCTTTGTCTTTTAGAGCTGACCTTTGAAATTTTCTGTTTAGCATTTCTATCTCCTCACTTCTTCCTTTGCTTTAGCATATCTATGCTGGAGAACAAGTTTCAGAGTCTCTTCTGACATCTATTTTAGTCTCTTTCTTCTTTCTTGTCTTTTTAATGACCTTTTGCTTTTTCCCTGTAGATGTTTTCTTGATGTCATCCCACAACTCTCTGGTCTTAGGACTTTAACATCTAATTCATCAAATCTGTTCTTCAGATGAGTTCTAAATTCAGGTGGGATATGTTCAAGGTCATATTTTGTCTCTAGTGGACTTGTTTTAATTACCTTTTGCTTCAGCTTGAATTTGCATATGAGTACTTGCTGGATGGTCTGTTCTACAGTCTGTCCCTGGCCTTGTTTTGACTGATGATATGGAGCTTTCGCACTTTTTCCACAGATTTCTGTGTATTTTTTGTCTGGTGAGGTCCATGTGTACAGTGGTCATTCATGTTGTTTAAAAATGGTATTTGCAATGAAGAAGTCATTGGTCTTGCAAAAATCTATCATGTGATCTCCAGCATTGTTTCTATCACCAAGGCCATATTTTTCAATTATTGATCCTTCCTCTTGATTTCCAACCTTTGTATTCCAATCGCCAGTAGTTATCAATACATCTTTTTTTTTTAAATCTTATTTTTTTGTTTATTTTTTAATTTTTTTCTAGTTATCAATATATCTTGACTGCATGTTTGATCAATTTCAAACTAAAGAAGATGGTAGAATTCTTCAATTTCATCATCACTGACTTCAGTAGTTGGTGCATAAATTTGAATAGTGGCATTAACTGATCTTCCTTGTAGGTATGGCTATTGTCCTATCACAGACAGTGTTGCAATTCAAGCCAGTTCTTGATATGTTCTTTTTGATGAATGTGATGCCATTCCTCTTCAATTTGTCATTCCCAGCACATAAACCATGTGACTGTCAGATTCAAAATGGTCAATAGCAGTCTATTTCAGCTAACTGATGCCTAGGATATCTATGTTTATGCATTTCATTTTTGACAATTTCCAATTTTCCAAGATTCATACTTTGTACATTTCATCTTCTGATTACTAATGGACGTTTATAGCTATTACTCTTCATTTTGAGTTGTACCCCACCAGAAAATAAAGGGCCCAAAAGCTTTACTCCATTCACGTCATCTCAGTCAACTCTACTTTGAGGAGGCGTATCTTTCCCAGTTGTATTTTGTGTGCCCTCCAATCTGAGGGGCTCATCTTCCAGCACTATCTGACAATATTCTGGTGCTCTTTATCATATTTCAGTATTCAACAATCTGGTGCTGACAGTGTTCCACTGCTATTCATAATGTTTTCAGTGACTATGTATTTGGAAGAAGTTTGTCTCTCCTTCTGCCTAGTCTTCTTTCATCTGGAAGCTTGGGTGAAAGCTGTCCCCCATGGAAGGTTCTGCTGGTATTTAAAATACCGGTGGCATAGATTCCAGAATCACAGCAACAAGCAAGCCATCACAGTATGACAAACTGACAGACGAGTGATGGTTCACCCAATTTAAATTTGATGCATTTTGTTGGTGTAGGGAACATGTATTTCGGTAATTTTGTAATGTTTTTCAATGTTTCATTCATTTAAAGAAAATACACCACTCTTAGTTGAGTTCATGAGTATCATGTGATCTTTAACTCATTACAGACTGTTTTTATGTTACTATGAAACGAAATACTAGTAGTTGTTGTTAGGTGCTTTGAGTTGATTCTGACTCATAGCACCTAACCTTATGAACAACAGAATGAAACACTGCCTGGTCCTATACCATCCTCACAATTGTTGTTATGCATAAGCCCATTGCTGCTGCCACTGTGCCAATTCATCTCATTGGATGTCTTCCTCTTTTTTTTGCTGACTCTCAATTTTACCAAGCATAATATTCTCTTCCAGGTACTGGTCCCTCCTGATAACATGTCAGAAGTATGAGAGATGAAGTCTTGCCATTCTGGCTTCTAAGGCGCATTTTGGCTGTACTTCTTCCAGCACAGATTGGTTTGTTCTTCTGCCAGTCTATGGTAATTTTAATATTCTTCCCCAACACCAAATTCAGATGTATCAATTATTCTATGGTCTTTCACTGTCCAACTTTCATACGCGTATGAGGCTGTTGAAATACTATGGCTTGGGACAGGTGCATTTTATTCCTCACACTGACAACTCTGCTCTTGAACACTTTAAAAAGTGTCTTGGGCAGCTAGCTGATTTGTCTAATGCAGTATGTCGTTTGCTCTTTTGACTCCTGCTTCCATGATTGTAGATGGCTGATCTGAGCAAAATGAAGTCTTTGACAACTTCAATCTTTTCTCCATTTATCATGATGTTATTAATTGGTCCAATTGTATTTTTATTTTCTTTACATTGAGGTTGAAACCCATACTAAAGTCTTTGGTCTTCATCAGTAAATATTTAAGTCCTCTTCACTTTCAGCAAGTGAGGCTGTATCATCTGCATTATCGCAGGTTGTTAGCCTTCCTTCAATCCTGATGCCAAGTCCTTGTTCATATAATCTAGCTTCTCGGATTAGTTGCATAACATGTAAACTGAATAAGTATGGTGAATGGATATAACCCTGACATACACCTTTCCTAATTTAAACCATTCAGTATACCTTGTTCTGTTGGAATGACTACCTCTTAGTCTATGCACAAGTTCCTCATAAGCACAATCAAATGTTCTGGAATACCAATTCTTCACAAAGTCATCCAAAGCTTGTCATGATCCATCCAGTCGAAAGCCTTTGCATAATTAATAAAGCACAGGTAAATATCTTTCTGGTATCCTCCGCTTTCAGCCAAGATCCATCTGACGTCAGCAATGATATCCTTAGTTCCATGTCCTCTTCTAAATCTGCCTTGAATTTCTGGCAGTTCCCTATCGATATACCCCTGCAATTGTTTTTGAATTACGTTCAGCAAAATTTTACTTGCACGTGATATTAACGATATTGTTCAGTAATTTCCACATTCCATTAGCTCACATGTCTTTGGGATAGTAACAAACATATATCTCTTCCATCAGCTGGTCAGGTTGGGAGGGGCCTTTCAAATTTCTTGACATGGATGAGTGTGAGTGGCTCCAGAGCAGCCTTACTTTGTTGAAAGATTTCAGTTTGTATCCCCCATCAATTCCTGGAGTCTTGCTCTTTGCCAATGCCTTCAGTGCAGCTTAGACTTCTTCCTTCAGGACAATTGGCTTTTTTTTTTAAAATTATATAAACACATTTTATTTATCATTTGCCTTACAACTGACTTTCTTTTAGGAAATTGATCTGATATTGTTATGACTCACAAAGGAAATTTGCTCCTTGTGAAGTGGTATATATCTTTGAGTAAGTTCCACTGGCATTTGTTCACTACCTCTTGAAATGGTGATGTACTTAATTCAAGGAAACTTCATGAAAGTCAACCACTTTTCTCAGCACTTTAGAGTACAGGTACTTTTTGTTCATTGAATACTGACAAAACCATGAAGTAGGTATCACGACAGAGAGGAAAAACACTTACCTAAGATCAAGCACACACTGAAATTTGGGCTCTAGTCAGGGGGCGAACCAGGGTTTAAATGTAGGGAGGCTGACTCTCGGGCCTAGCTTTAGGGATTTTATGTATATACAACAACCAATACAAGCCAACAAAGGATTGTCGTGGTATTGGAGTAGGAACACAAACCTTAAACTGAGTATTAAAATACACACAGAAATACAACCATACCCAGACTCATACAATGCTTCAGATTTAATATGAAAAAAGTCATTAATAAGCTAATATGCTTACTGTGATCTTTCCCCTGCCCTGGAGAAGTACAAACACTTGCTTGAGGGGTAACAGGCATGAGAGCTTGCCGAATGGCTTTTTCCCAGCTCTGTGCTACATCAAGTCCAACTCCAGTGGCAGCAAGAACCGGATTGTGAGAGCTGTCCCCACTGTTCTCACCCACAAAGTATACCATAGTGTCAGTGATGATTTCAAAACAGTGAGGGTTGCTGCCTTGTGAAATGTTTGTGAAATCATGTGGCAAAGACACACGGAGAATTTCTGAAAGTGGTATTTCCTGAAATAGAAAAACCAAGTATTGGCAAATATGAAATACATCTTGTTTTTCTTTTCAAATGCATTAAGGAAGTGATGATACAAATTTCTAATGAACATCATTAAGACCAACACAAGTGTACATGAAGTGAGTGACACAGCCAAGTCTTATTACTGCATCTGTCTTGAATCTGTTGAATCTGTTGTACTTCCGGCAATGCCGGAGACAGAGCAGGGAGGATGATTGCTATCCTAGTGATTCAGACCTAGAGCAGATCATAAGGGTGCAAGGAAAGGGAGGAATTAAGAGGGCAATTTACCACTATAGCCATCACTTACAATTTTTTAAACGTCATTAAATTTACTTAACAACTACTTCTCTTTGGGCTATTGTCTGCAAGGTATAGCCCCTAAGCAGCACAGGAAAAATGGCGGAAAAAAAATGTTGGGTCAGTGTTTGAGCAATCCATTCTGGTTCTGTACATTGAGGTCAAGTGTAAAATTAATTACGTTTAGTCTACTTCCTAAAACAAGAAACTTAAAAAAAAAAGAAAAGAAAAAAGGAACTTCCAAAGCAAAAAAAAAAAAAAAACCCAAAAAAAACCCATAATCAAAGCAAGCCATTATTTTGTATTTTCTTTCTTTCTGACCTAGTTGCTGCACTTATAATCTTGTTTGGTGAATGTCAGGTTGTTATGTGGCAAACTGTGGGGCACAGCTACCCAGGAGATGATACAAAGGAGACAAAGAGCCAAAACAAGCAATGAGGAATCAGGGCCTAAGGTAAACTGGAAAGGTAGGAGAAACACCAAAGACCATACTGGTCTCCTGTGGACAATGATCATAGAACTTTCTATACAGTCTAATCTAAATCACAGTATCCACAGGGGGAAACAGCAGCAATCTCACAACCTGGGCTAAAGTAAACAACTAGCAAAACCAACTTTTGATTACTTTGGAGGCTGGATGGAAGGGTGGGGAACAGTCGCCTCAACAAAAAATCTGATGGTAACTTTTACTTACTACATTAGTATGTTATCATAGGCATATTGAAAAATAACAATTAGTGTATTAATATCATTGGGATATATTTGAAAAACACAGTATTTTACATACATTTGTAATATGAAGATCTTACCTTATAATACTTTGATCCAGATTCATTTTGAAATAATGTTAGACATTTGCTGTCCAGTCTCCAATAATGTCTCTTTCTCTATAAAACCAAGAGCATGATAAAAAATGATTCCTCCAAAGTACTTCTATTTTTATTGTCCATTTTCATAAATTTTAATTTTTGAATAGGTTGTACATTCATTAGATTCTAAATTGTGAAAATATAAAACGGATAATATATAATGAAAAATATGACCCTCACCCCATTCACTCATAATCCCACTGTCCACCTTTTACCCAAGGCAATCAGTTATTAGGTTTTGGGAAATCTTTTCAGATTATATGTACACCCAACACAAATACATTATTTCCCACCCCTTTGCATACAATTAGTAGCATACTTGTCAGTTACAGATCTTTTTCATAAAAACTTCATCCTTTGTTGCTGTTGTTAAGTGCCGTAGAGTCATTTCTGACCTATAGCAACCTTGTATAGGGATTCCGAGGAGTAGGTGGTGGGTTTGAACCATACACAAACCTTGTGATTCAAACTGACTTTCCAGTCCAGCGCACTGACCCACAGCGCTGCACCAGTCATCCTTCTGTTTTTAATAGCTGTATAATTCCATTGTATACCTCAGGTATTGTATCCAGGCACTTTGGATGTTTTAAGTCAGAAAATTCTTTGTGTACTGCATGCAGTTTAGTGGTATGCTTTACTTCTACATACCAGATGCCAATTACACTAAACCCTATACATGGTTGCTATGGGTCGGAACTGACTCGACGGCTCTTAACAACAACAACAACAACAACAACAATGTAATTTATTCAATTAGTTGCAAATTTATAGATAGAAAGGTTGTTTTCAATCTTGTTCTTACAGTTAGTGATGCAATAAATAATTGCACATTACTTTTTTTATTTGGGTTAATTTATCAATAGTACAAATTTTTGATTTGCTGGCTTAACAGATATGTACACATGAATTTTTCTTGATAGGATCAAGTTACCCCACACAAGATTTGGCTCACTTTATGTCTCACTGGCACCAAATGGAAGTATTTATTTACTCATACTTACTTTATCAGTTATTCAACTTTGTGCTACAATGATAATACTGGTACTAAGTGAATTTTTAAACTGTATTTTGTTTGTTGTTGTTGTTAAGTGCCATCGAGTCAGTTTCAACCTATAGTGACCCTATATAGGGTTTCTGAGGAGTGGCTGGTGAGCATGAACTGCCAACCTTGTGGTTCAAACTGACTTTGCAGTTTAGCGCATTAACCCACAGCTTGTCATGAATGAAATTAAGCTTTTATATTTAAGAGTCATTTGTATTTCCTTTATTGGGAATCCAGTTTATATCCTTTGCTCATTTTTCTATTGTATTGTAGTCCTTTGCTTATCAATTTGGTACTATTTATATATGAAGGAGGAGTCCTGGTGTAGTGCTGTAGGATAAGCACTGGAATGCTAACCATGAGGTTGGCAGTTCAAACCCACCAGTTGCTCCTTGGAAACCCTGTACATGGTTGCTGTGAGTCAGAACAGACTCGGAGGCACTTAACACCAGTCGATTAGCCCTTGTGTAAAATATAAGTTTAAACCTCTTTTTCAAGTTTGTCAGTTAACTTCGCTTTTTGCCATGCAGACTATTGTTAATAAGGGTGAATTTATCCATCTTTTATTGCTTTTTCTTCATTTTGAGATTATTAAATAATTTTTCTTAGAATTATTATATGTAAAGTGTGAGGAATGTGTTGCTGTTAGTTATGTGCTGTAGAGCTCGTTCTGACTCACTGCAACCTTTTATGGGGTTCTGAGGAGCGGCTGGTAGGTCTGAACCACTGATCTTGCAGTTAGCAAGCAGTCCAGTGTTTATACTAGCACCACACCTGGCATGAATTCAACTTAACATTTTTTCACAATGGATTTCCCAATACCATTTACTAGACTCTTTTCTCCACTGATTTTATATCATATCTTAGATATGCTATTAGAAGCCTATATGTATGTAGGACACTTCAAGAAGCTAATGATATTTCAAACCATAAATCTGTATAGTGGCACAATGTCAAATTCTTTCTGAAGTTTTTCTTTTTAGGAATTCATTATGTGTTTTACTTTGTTCATCAGTCATTTTACATACCTTATCAGGTAGTCTAGGAGTCCTGGTGTGGCACTGTAGGATAATAACTGGAATGTTAACCACAAGGTCAGCGGTTCAAACCCACCAGCTACTCCTCAGAAACCCTACGCAGGGTTGCTATGAATCGGAACTGACTTGACACACGACAACAACATTAGCTTTCTTAGAATTTATTATTTGTTTCAAATGGTACATACATCATATCTGTTTCTATTTATAAAGCATGTCTTTTACGTTAATTAAAATAAAAATCATTTTGTTTTTGTTGTTGCTGAGAACATATATACTAATTCAACAATTTCTAAATGTGCAATTCAATGACACTGATTATATTCTTAAAGTTGTGCAACCATTCTCACCTCCTTTTCCAAACTGTTGCTCCCTCATTAACATAAACTCCCTGTCCACTAAATTTCCTATTGAATTTTTCAAGTAGCTGTTTTTAATTTGATCAAATATAGATAGTTCTTTAAAAAGTGCAATACTCAAGGAAGACATTTTTTTATTGGATAAGCTAAACTACTGTCTAAAGAAAATTTCATGGTTATTTTTGTTTCAGAGTTTAAAAATTAGCTCAGAGTTAAGTGTTTCAGGGACTCACCCTGTCTCCATGGCTCCAGAAAGTCTTGATTTCATGACAATTTGAAATTCTGTTCTGTGTTGCCCCCATTTTATCAAGATTCGTCTATAGCATCTTTGATCAAAATATTCAGTAATGGTAGCTGGGCCCCATCTAGATCTTCTGGTCTCATGGCAAAGGAGGCAGTGGGTTATGGAGGCAATTCCATTTACTCCTCCTATTCCTGGACCCTCACCCTCGCTTTTGTCCCAGGCAAATGGAAATCAACTGTTATACCTTGGATGCCTTTTACAAGCTTGTAAGACCCCAGGCACTAGGCCAAATTTTTTCTGGATCTTTTATACTCAACCAGGTTATAAGGACTATACATTATACTGCCTTTTAAAAGTTCTCTACATTTGCATCACACTTCAACGTAGACAATTTCTTCACAGATAATTCATTCTCCTTCTGATTTACTAGAGAGATGGATTAAACCCTTTGACAGTTACAGTGACGTGTTATAACATATATGTGTACTGACCAGGTTATCCCTGCTGGTGTAATGCACCATCCATCCTTCCTTCACCATTGTGCTGCTCTTCCTCTTTGTGTGCTTGATGGACTGTACAACCCTCATTAGTGGAATATTATTGCTTGTCGATGGACTAAAAAATATTTAAGTTTTATGGTAAGTATTTATAATATAATTTTTCAAAAACATCACATAAATACTGTAGGCTCACCAACTGTTTTAAGAGAGCAGAGGTAATTTTTTTTAAAATGTGTTAGACAGAAAATGGCATAAGAAAATAAATTAATCCTAACATCAAAATACAGAGTTGATTTATACAAGATTAATATAATTTCTCATTATTTGTCTTGAATTTCTAGGAGGACACAAAAAATTAAGAAACATAAGGTAAGTAACAGAACAGAAAGAATTCCTTCCAATTGAATGATCTGGGGGCCTGGGAGTCTTCCTGCTCTCGACAGCATGTGTAGCAAACCAAGCCTGCTACCATCCAGCTGATTCTGAGGCTATAAACCTTCATGGAGCAGTAAGCTTTACCGTCTCCCACAGAGCAGCTGGTAAGTTTGAAATGCTGACCTTACGGTTAGCAGTCCAGTGCATTATCTTACTGTGATACCAGAGCTCCTTAGCATGATAAATGTGTAAATTCAAGGTATGAAAAAAGGCAAGTATACCTGTACTAAAATCAGCATAGTTCTAATATCAAACTCATTGATGTTTTCTGGAAAAAAGTACTTCTAGTAGAAGATATTTAATGGCAAATGATTTACAATTATTAATTAAGAAAATAAAAATAGCAATGTAATGAGCCAAACCAGGTAATATTGAGATATGGTCAATAATAGTGTGGCTGGAGAAAAAGTAATTTTGAGGGGTAGGGAAGCAGTGAAAAATACACTTTCAATTTGAATCTCAAATAGTTAATCAGAACATATTTTCTCTTAAGCTACTTAAAATTCACTATTAGGAGTATAAGGAACTCTGGTAGCATAGTGGTTACAAATCGGGCTGCGAACCTCACAATCAGCAGTTCGAAACTACCAGCTGTTCTGTGGGAGAAAGATGAGGCTTTCTGCTCCCGTAAAGATTTACAGCCTCAGAAACCCAGGACAGGGTCACTATGGGTCGGAACCGACTCCATGGCACATAATAAATTAGGAGTAGAGAGGTAAGCTGTTTAACAGTCTCCAAGTTGGGTAAAGATTAAGTGTTGGTTAAGAATGATATTACAACTTAATGATAAGCTAAACTGAGTAAATGACTACACTGGAAATAACTAGCTCAGCCACATGAAATTCATAAATGGCCCCCTTTCTCTAGCTTTTTCTTGGCAATGAAAAACAAAAACTGCCCAAGAATGACATTTTTATTACAACAGGATACACCCAGATGGCCATACAGACAGAGAATCAGGGTTCTGCTGAAGGAGCCTTGGTGGTGCAATAGTTAAGCTGCTAATCAAAAGGCTGGCAGTTTGAACCTACCCAATGGCTCCGTAGGAAAATGACCTAGTGATCTGCTCCCGTAAACATTACCAAAAAATACCAAAACCCAAGCCCACTGCTGTTGAGGAGATTCCAACACAAGCCTAAAAAACCCTAAGGGTGCAGTTCTACTCAGACACACAGGTTGCTATAAGGACAATAATGGATTTGCTGGCACCTAACAATAATATTATTGGTGTGCCACCAGGTGGACGCTGCTCTGTGGCAGAACAGAACTGTCCCATAAGGCTTCCTAAGCTGTAATCTTTATGGGGGCAGATTGCTAGTTCTTTTCTTTTGCAGAACAGTATGTGGGTTCAAACTACTGACATTTAGGTTAGCAACTGAGCACTTACCCACTGTGTTATCAGGGGAATATTAGTCCAAAAGCATTTTTATAGAGTACTGCTGGTGTGGTGCTGTGCTATCGGATAAGTACTGGACTGCTAACGAAAAGATTGATGGTTCAAATCCATCAGCCGTTCCTTGGAAACCTTATACAGGGCTGCTACGAGTCAGAACTGACTCAATAGGACTTAACACCAATATTTAGATCTGTAGTGGCAATAGGAAAACCTCCCCTTAATTCGTCACTACCATCTTTAGTGCAACATTCTGAGGAATACATTTTTACTGCTATTTCTATCTGCCTATGTGAAGACACTGGTTGCTTTTTGTTGGCTGCTTGACAATTAGGTAGTATAGCTGAGCTATGCTATTTAAAAAAAAAAAAAAAGCATCTTTATTTTTAAAGGGTTCTCAGACCTTCACATCTTGAGTGGATGGCAGTAATGATATAATTTATTTCAGAAACAGTGCTTTGCAGACAAAGGTATGTGCTACAATTAGATGTTGAATTGCATTTAAGATTCTACTTGTAGCTTTCTTTGTAGGGGTCTTCTTTCTTAATGGAGCTCCTGCATGGACCTTGCATTTGGAAGTAGCTTGTACTACATAAATATGCGTTACCTGATTGTTTTAACAGCTTCTTCATCTCTTTCTACATCTAGGTCCGATGGATCCAGGAAGAACATTTTATCTTCTGGGGGAGATGGCTCTTCTGTGTCATCCAAGCCCCGGCTACCATCACTGTTGATGTCACTACTGTCAATGTCCATTGGCATATCCGTGTCTGCTCCAAGACTGGAGGGTTCTGGCAAAGTGTGAAACGAATTCCAGTTTTATATTAATGGAAAATTAACATATTGAAACAGAAGTTTTTAAAAATTTAAAAGGAAATAAAGGAAAGTATCTTTATGATTCAGGATAAAAAGTATTATAAAATATAAAATAAATAAATCAAAAAGGAGATCAAAGTAATTAAATTAGAAATTGAAATTTCTGTGACAAAAGTGCCTAATAGGGACACGAAAATACGGTCAACATCATTGTTGAGATTGTTAAGTGCTGTTGATCTGGTTCCCACCCATGGTGACGCTGTTTAGGGTTTCCAAGAAGTGGCTGGTGAGCTTGAACCACTGACATCTTGAGGTTCAAACCAACCTTACAGTATAGCTCATTAGCCTGCAGCACTGCACCAAATGTAACTCAAAACCACAGTGATATACCTCTTCATACCGTATAGGATGGCTATAATAAAAAAGGTGGACAATAACAAGTTTTGGCTAAATTAAAACCCTTATAGATTATTTGTGGAAATGTAAAATAAAGTTATTTACTTTGCAAAAACAGATTGGTAGTTCCTCATGTTAAACAGAGTTACCATCATTGCTGTTAGTTGTGTTGGTTCTGACTTATAGTGACTGCACAGGGTTTCTAAGATTGTAAATCTTTACAGCAACAGAAAGCTCATCTTTCTCCTGCAGAGCTACTGGTAGATTTGAACTGCTGACCACGCAGTTATCAGTTCCGCTCGTAATCCACTATGCTACCAAGGGCTCTTTGAGTTACCATGTTATTGTTATTAAATGCCATCAAGTTGGTTCTGACACACAGCGACACTGTATAGGGTTTCCGAGGAGCAGCAGGTGGGTTTGAACTGTCAACTCTGTGGTTCACAATCCAGTGCTGATCTACAGTGTCACCCGTAATTCCACTCCAAAAGATGTATTCAAGAAAAATGAAAATATATATTCACCAATTTTACATTTGTATTTATAGCAGTACTTTTCACTATAACCCCCAAATGGAAACAACTCAAATGTCCATCAACTGATGAATGGATAATCAAAAGGTGGTATCTCCATACAGAATATAGTTTATTGGTATAAAAGAATGAAGTATTTATTCATACTACAACATGAATGAACCTTGAAAACATTATGCTAAGTAAAGAAACAAGTCACAAAAGGTCACATATTGCTATGATATTACTTATATGAAATGTTTAGAAAAGGTAAATCCATAGAACTAGAAAGCAGGTTAGTGGTTGCCAGGGGCTGGGAGATAAGTGAGTATGGGAGGTTACTATTCACGGATATGGAGTTTCTTTTTGGGTGATGGAAACATTCTAAAATTGCACTGTAGTGACAGTTGCATACGTTTATGAGTATATGAAATGAGTGAAGTGTAAATCATATCAATAAAACCATCAAAAAAGAGAAAGATAAGCTATTGATGGAGGAAGATATTTATAACACATTTAACTAATACTAGATTAGTATGCTGCAGACCTATCAGTAACTTTTGCAAATCAATAATAACAAACACATTTAAAAATTTGATAAAGCATCTAAACAAGCAATTTAAAGGGAGGGGGAAGCCTAAGTAACCAGTAAACACTGAAATATGCTCAAACTCATTTGTAATTAGAGAAAGGCACATCAAAATAACTGAGTTGTACTTCATACCCATTGTATAAAAGGTTAAGAACCCTGGTGGCACAGTGGTGAAAGCACTCAGCTTCTAAACAAAAGGCCAGCGGTTTGAACTCACCATGGGACAAAGATGTGGCAGTATGCTTCAGTAAAGATTTTCATTTTGGAAACCCTATTGAGCAGTGTGACTTTGTCCTATAGAGTCTTTTGAGTCGAACTTGACTCGATGTCAATGGGTTTGGCTTGGGTTTTGATATAAAAGGAAGAAAAGTACCGAAATACAAATAAATAAACTATAAATCTAAAAACACTTTTGTTGTTGTTAAGTGTCATTGAGTGAGTTCCTGTGCACAGCAGTCCTGTATAGGGTTTCCAAGGAGCAGTTGGTGGGTTTGAACCAGTGACTTTGTGGTTAGCAGTCCAGGGTTTGTTCTTCAGTGCCATAACACATTTCCACAGAAAGCAAACCATAAGGGAAAACCTTCATTAGTTTCCTTCCCTATGCTTTTTTCCTATAGTACTATTTACGTTCAATATTTTGGCAAGTAAGTCACTAAAGGAAAATAACACTGAAAATTTAGTCGGTCACTTTATTATATATTTTTTTTGGTTTGTTATAAAATTAATAGTAACCTTTATTAAACAAAAAGTCAAAATGTTGTTTGTTGACATAGGTCTATATACTACCCGGGTCTATACACATCCTTTTTTTTTTTTTTAATTGTGAATTAAGGTTAACAGACAAGATTATCAATTTTACATTTAACAAATTAGATGCTTTGTTTCACCTTAGTGATTATAATCCCCTCCCTGCAAAAAGAGTTATCCTACTTCCCCTCCTGTGGCTTCCCTTTTATATCTAGTATTTCAAAAATGAATAAAGCAAAAATATTTGATATACACATTAAAAAATAAGGCTATATATTCATTTAAATGTCCTAAGGGCATATTCTGCAAGCCAGCCTCCTGCCCACAGGCACACAACTTGACTCAGTCCATGGGCTTAGGGCCCGCAGCTGCTCTAACTTTCCGTAGGATTGCCTGTGCCACCATCTCCACTGTTGATGCTTTTCTAGATAGGATCTCATGCTCTACTCTGCTCTTCCTTCTTGATGATCCTGGGATCATCTGTTCCTGAAATGAAAGATTAACTACTCCCCCAGGTCTTTGCACATTTCATTAAAATATTTGACTTTGTCTTCTCTATCCTTTTTAATTTTCCATTCAACTCTTTTACCTCCTCATTTCTTCCAGTAGCTTTTAGCATCTCTGTGCTGGAGAACAAGTTTCAGAATCTCTTCTAACATCCATTTTGTTCTTTTGCTTCTTAATGACCTTTTGCTTTATTCCTGTATGATGTTATTGATGTCATCACACAACACTTCTGGTCTTTGGCCATTAATGTTTAATGCATCAAATTTATTCTCTAGATAATCTCTAAAATCAGGTGGGATATGTTCAACGTTATATTTTAGCTCATGTGGACTTGTTTAAATTTTCTTCAGCTTCAGCCTGAACTTACATATGAGCAATTGATGGTTTGTTCCCCAGTCTGCCCCTGCTTTGACTAATAATACAGAGTTTTTCCACTCTCTCTTTCCACAGATATAATCACTTTCATATCTGTGTATTCCATCTGGTGAGGTCCATGTGTATCGTCGTCTTTTATGTTGTTTAAAAAAGGTATTTGCACGGAAGAAGTCATTGGTCTTGCACAATTCTATCATGCAATCTCCACCATAATTTCTATCACCAAGGCCATATTCTCTGACTACTGATCCTTCCTCTTTGTTTTCAACCTTTGCATTCCAATTGCCAGTAATTATCAATACATCATGATTTCATGTTTGATCAATTTCAGACTAAAACAGTTGGTAGAATTCTTTAATTTCATCATCATTGGCTTTAGTGGTTGGTGTGTAAATTCAAATAATAGTTGTATTAACTGGTCTTCCTTGTAGGCGTATAGATATTATCCTATCACACACAGCATTGTATTTCAAGATAGATCTTGAAATATTCTTTTTGATAATGTGATGCCATACCTCTTTGGTTCATCATTCCCAGCATAGTAAACCATGTAACTGTCAGCTTCAAGATGGCCAATACCAGTCCATTTCATCTCACTAATGCCTAGGATATCAAAGTCTATGCATTCCATTTCATTATTGACAAACTGATGAGTGGTGGTACCTTACTTATATTATATTGAAAAGAATATAATGGCCAAAGAGAGGGAATATTTGGCTAGTGATTATATAATGGAAAAGAAGAGACTGAGAGGCAATACATGTGTTCTAATGACTATGGGGAGTCCTGGTGTGGCACTGTTGAATAAAGCATTGTACCAAAAGGTCGGGGTTCAAATTTCTGCTCCTCGGAAATCCTATATAGGGTTCCTATGAGTTGGAATCTGCTCAATGGTGCTTAACAACAACAACAACAACAACAACAACGGCTATAGACTAAGGAGTCAGACCATATTGATTTAACCCAGCTTCACCACTTACTGATTACATTTCCTGGGCAAGTTATTTAACATCTTCATGCCTCAATTTACTGACATTTAAGTGGAGAAACAAAATAGCTGTGGTGCCACAGTGGATTAAGCACTGAGCTGCCAACCTTTCCATATCAAAAGGTTGTCAGTTTGTAGTGAGCAGCTCTCAGGGAGATAATGATAAGGCAGTCTGCTTCTGGAAAGATTATGGGCTTGGGCACCCTATGGAACAGCTTTACTCTGCTCTACGGGGTAGCTATGAGTTGAAATGATGGCAAAGGGTTAGTTAAGTAGGAATACTTGTACTTAGATTTAAATGAAAACATATATGAAGAGCTTAACATAGTATCTGGAATATAGAAAACCACCAATAAGTGTTAAAACTAGAAATATAGGTGATGGCAGGACTTTAAAACAAGTCCTTTCATCTCAAAAGATCAAAGAATATACGAAGCACTACAAGTTATATTACCATATATTAGACTATAAAGTTGTAGGTAGCTAGAGGAAAGACTGGAAGGTGTAATTTCTCATAAAGCATATCACTGCTCAACAAGGTAACTATAATTAAAAAAAAAAATTACTAAATTATACATTTAAAGTGACTAAATGTCATCTTTATTTTATATATATACAGCTAGACAGACAGACAGACAGATAGATATAGATTATTGGTGTGACACGATAGGATCAGCACTGGACTTTGAACTACAAGGTCAGCGGTTCAAACCCACCAGCAGCTCCTTTGAAACCCTATACAGTTCCAGCTATGAGTTGGAACTGACTCAACTGCACTTAACAACAACAATAT